CTGGAACTTTCTCATCTTTGCAGTATAGACCAGACCACCATCTTTCTAAAAGGATTTCTGTTGTAAACTGGTCAATGGAAAATGACCCCTATGAACTCAAAGTTTGGTTAAGGATTGGAAATCCAATATATTAACCAGTATTGCTGCTCTGTATGAAAAACAGAGGATGTGATTGTTGATTTATAAAAACAGAGCATCTATTCAAACATGGGTATACCCCTAAAATAAAAATTAGAGTTATAAGAAATAATGTGAGATTAAAAATAAAATAAATTACTGCCTTAGAAGTTTTTTTTGTTTAGGTTTCAAATAGAAAAATTAAAGTCAGCCAATATTGACTTTTGAATAGATATGGGCATTTGGGAAGATTGATGTGTGATGTATTTTTAGGTCTTGTCCTGCTCAAACTCTTTTATTGTAGTCTATATCAATTTGTCTTTACAAGCTTCTTCTTCTTCTTCATGTCCCTTGTCCCTTTCAGGACGTGAGTAATCATGGCTCTCTACAACTTCCTGTCCCTTGTAGCTCTTAATAAACTTATTCTGGCATTCATTTACTCAAGCTCATTAAGTATGTTTTGTGTTGCCTTCCTCTGTCCTTCTTGCCTCTGTCCTGTGAGTATCAGATTTTCCAAGCACTCCTTCCTCGAACTGAACGCTTTATTTAGACTGCAGGTGTAGATTGTTCTAATTCCATGTGCCATGCCTCTTCTAGATGTCTCACAACTCTTTGGGTTAAGTCACTTTTCAGATTAATTCAACCAATGCTTTTATCTATTGGTCAATGTAAATAGTTGCAAATTGTGGACTGGTGCTAAAGAATCACAAACAAAGGACTGTGTCAGGTAAGAAAAACCGGATTACTTGAGGACTTCCAAGAGAAGCAACAGCTAAAATGGATATCAGATAATACAAATGACATAATCAAGATGTTGTCATACTGCACTACTTCAAACAAAAGGTTCTGAAGGAAGTACCTACCAATACTGGTAAGAGCAATAACAATTAGTGGAACTGAGAAACCTATATTCCTGGAGAATTGTTTAAATTGTTTTCTAAATTTCAGCTGAAAGCAGTACTAGCTGCTTTGTTAATGAATGCCAAATGTTTCCTTATAGGGAAACAGCTAATGTTACCGTTACCATTTTATTTTGAATTCGTAAATATTTGTCAATGATATTCTGGTTAGACTCTTTTATTGCAATCTACATCAAGCATAATATTATTGGTCTTTAAATGCTTACCTTTCTTTCACACACTTTTTTCTAAGTCAAACTACATGTTGATGTCATCACTGAACTTTCTCACAGAGTTTAGAATGCTCCCTCATTATTATTATTATTATTATTAATCATCATTTTTTAAAATAATAAACACTGCCGCAGAGTGGAGGTAATTAAAATAAAAGTGGTGTCATGGAAAAAACTTGTTCTATTGACACTACGTTTTTTTGGACAGGTTGAGTGGGGGGTACAAAGATACATGTTTGCCGAAATCTCTTGTTGAGCCACAAGAAAAATAGAATAAAAAGTATAACCATGTCAATCATTTTTAATGAAAACATATATCAGACAGGTATTGCTACCCAAATGCACAACTGTATTCTATATGTCTGCAGCCTGTTTAATGAAACATGTATTAGAAAGGAGTTTCTGCCAATATATATATATATATATATATATATATATATATAAAAAGTGAACATTGAAGTCAACACTAAGAGGTGACAGTCTGTTTCATGCTAGATGCAATTGTTTCCTGACTATTGCATCTAGAATGAAACAGCCTGCCGCCTCTAAGTGTTGACTTCAATGTTCACTTTTATATTTACATACGCTCTATCTCTTATATTGAGCACTTTATCCCATAAATATAGCACACCTTAAAACTATATTTCTTCATATTTATATATATATATATCTTTTTCCTTGTTTAAATTCTTCAATCAATCGTTTCATTCTCTTCATTTCTTTATTTCTTTCTTCTGTTCTTTACGACTATCTCAAGATGGATGAAGATAAAGAAACTTCCACAGGCACATGGATCATCAAATTTGAAAAGTAAATTGAGAATAATGAAATAATAGTATTTTTGAGGCTTTGATAATACAGATAGCAGAGGATTAGCCATAATTAACCTGGTCTTATCACAAGTTTGTATGCAAATCTATGCAAATTAGACACTCAAGTGTCATTTTACTCTAATTAAAACCAGTTGTCCTTACCTTCATTAACTTTTTGGATGATCTGCGAAGAAAAGCTGAATTTCCCAGTAATTACCTTTCACATGAAATAAGATCAAAGAAAAAAAAAAACACAAAGGCGGTTAGGTGAGGAAAGATATTGAAAAATAGGGTGAAATAATGACAGTAGGAAAAAAATGTAAAGTAAAAAGATGAGGCGAAAAGAATAAAAAATAAAAAGGCCACTTAAAAATAAGTAAAAAGGGTCATATTAACACTAATAATAGTACAAAATAATAAAGATATTAATATTAATATATATTTTTTTATCATTTCACCCCATGTAAGGTAGGAATGCCACTAATACACAGGGGTTACAGAGAGTGGAAATGAGGGAGTAAAAGTGAGAGAAAAGACTGTGTATATGTAGGATTGAGGAAAGGACAAAAGATGAACAGGATTCAAGAAGATGGAAGATGGTGATTGACATTGCATTTAAATTTTTGAAGATTATACTTATGAGGGAAGCAAGTAAACAGAAGTGAGTTCCACAGGCAGGAAGAGCGAAAAAAGAAACTGTTGGAGTAGAACTGGTGGTTGTATTTGTATATTTCAACAGTAAAAGGGTGGGACCTAAATACCAATCTAGTAGCACACTTAAATTTATAAAGTCAGGGCACCAGTGCAAAAAGGTCATCAGAGCAGTTGCCATAAAAATATTTGTAGAAAAGACAGAGGGAAGACACATCACATCAGTAAGAAAGTGACTGAAGTTGAGATGCCAAGTCAGGATTAGGTTTTTGTTAAAAATGATTGACATGCTTTTTATTCTATTTTTCTTGTGGGTTAACAAGAAATTTCAGCAAACATGTATCTTTGTACACCTGACCTCACCAAAAATATGTAGTATCAAAAGGATGATTTTTTCCCCATGACACCACTTTTATTTTAACTACCTTCACTCTTCGGAAGTGTTTATTGTTTTAGAAAGTGATGATTAGAATTGTAGCAAAACGTAAACATATGATGAAAGTGAATTTATACATTTTCTTTGTTGTTGAAAATTCAAAACAAAAATAATTTATTTATTAGATTGTTCATTTGAATGGTTGGCAAAATATCGATTAATTGTCAATTGATTTAAATTTTATAAAATGGTAAATAATAAAGATTTCCTTATAAATGGTTAACATATTTTAATAACTTATCAAATGTTTATAAATTTATGAATAAAAATTTGTTTTCATATTTATTTCTTTAAAAATTAGTAAACAATAAATATTACATATCATTAGTCTGAATACAATTGTATTAGTTTTTAGAATGTTGTAGATATTTACAAAAATATGACAAACTGGAAAGATATTTTGTGACATGTTTCATCCATTAGGATTTCATCAGACTGGGCTTTGATGATGTTGCAATGTATACACATGTGCACGAAATGAGAGATGCTGGTAGTTTCAAAATTTTTCATTTTTTTTTGTAATTTTGACTTAGCTGGTATGTTGTTATTTTTGAGGATAAGGTTAGCAGTCTTAAACTTTTTATAATAGATAATTAATTTGATTTTTTAATTTGGGTCAATTGGAGTAGTATATTTCTTTATAATATACCTTAGAGAAGATTCGTTTTGTTTGTAATTAATATGCATTTGGTTTTTGTAATATTACAAAATTACAAAGGACGAACATTATCTATGAGTTCAAATGCCCCTTAAGGAACTGTGTTCCTGATCAAACCGGACATAAATAATTACATCGGTTACACAACCACATGCTTATCCAGACATCTTATGTTACACCTATCTGATCACAGCTCCATTAGAACCCATTTAAACAACACATACAAATTTACCAGTTTCCATTAGAAACATACTAGTAGAAAACAAATATATTAACTGCATCCACTTGCAAAAAAAAGACTAAAAATCATGGAAGCTTTAATAATAAAAAAAAGAAAAACCAACTCTTAACAATATTAACTACAAACAAAGCCACAATGTGCTAACCGTATTCAGAAATTAAAAACATACCTACCACACACTAAGACATACACAGAATGCACACACCCAATTAAATTGAAAAATCGAAATCCTTGATAATGGCTAAAGGTATATCCGAAAGCGCTTGGAAATATAAAACATTTGGACAGTTCTTACACACCCTTTGTCCAGAAAAGAAAGCTCTTGTTCGAATGCAAGAAAAATTAAATAAAAAGCTTAACCGTAGTACTTTGTCTGTCGTTTTTAATGAAACATGCATATATATATATATATATATATATATATATATATATAAATATAATTATACAAAATTATATATCATTATATCATAAAGTAGATTATAAAATTATTCTTGTAAATAAACAATCTAATAAATAGTGTTTAAAATTGTTATTGTAAATTGTCAAGAACAAAAAAATGGATAAGTTGACTTTTATCATATCTTTAGGTTTTATTCCAATTCTAAACATTGCCGAGGAGTAAAGGTAGTTAAAATAAAAGCGATGACATGGGAAAAAATGTCCTTTTGACTGTATTGAGGTACATTTTTGTCAAGATTTCTTTTTGGGACTTAGTGAGGATGGAAATATTCCAAAATGAATGCTTTTGAAGGACTTTCGTTATGCTATTGTAAATGGTGTGAACATTGCTAACAGGTATAGATGCTTTTAATTCACAAATACAGCAAATACACTTCCAAAGAAATCTTTCTCAGACAACATTCCTCCCAATAATGCCACTTTATAAAAAAGACTCCCTTTAACAAAATCCCTCTAATCTGAGTGGCCTTGAGTCTTGGATCACAGCTACATCATGCTGAAACAGCAGTTCTCACAAGATCACTGAAGTTAAGCAATGTTGAGCCTGGTAATTATCTAGATAGGTGACCGCTTGGGAATACCAGGTGCTGTAAGTTTAGATATTTGGGTGATATAATAAATAATGGCTTGGAATTTTAATTGGAGAGCTGAGTTCTAATTTTTGTTGGGTTCATTATATTCACTTATATGCAAATACCCTCTTTCCCCCCAGCTAAGGGTTTATTAGTAAGACTTGTATCGCAAAAAAAATCTTACAATCTAAAAAATCTTCCGGCTTTAAATAACATGCAAAAGGTAGATAAGCCATAAAGGACAAATAAATCAAATCTCTTGAGCCTTACCTCAGATGAATTATATTATGGAAAAATTTAATGATATTTTTTAAAATGTTCTATATCTATGGGGGAAGAAAACTCTTCCTCAAGAGAATATTTAGAATAGACCATTTGTAGATATAAACAAAGAATCAGTACCTTACCATTTCACTCATTTACTTAAAAATGAACCACCTACAGCATGCAACAAATTCCAAATTCCTCTCACAATAAAACACATCATTATAGACTGTAAAGAACTTAATCAAATTTGATCAAAACATTATCAAATACAGAACATCAAAGACCTCTTCAAAACCACAGTACTCAACAACATTTGAAAAGAAATAAACCTTTATATCAAAATCTAAAAAGAAAAATGAGATCCCACCAATCACAAATAGCAAATCCACCTCCTGTTTTGCCTTTTGAGAATGACAAAATACAAATACGGTTGTTAAATAGCCAAATCAAACAAACAAATAAACAAGTAGTCAACACTTCATTTTTTGTCAGTTTCATACTTTAAGTGATCTTCAGGCCCTCTCTCTCTCTCTCTCTCTCTCTCTATATATATATATATATATATATATATATATATATATATATACCATTCATCCATGCTTAGAATATTACTGACATATATGGTTCAGTGCCCTTACTATTTACCTTGAGCTTCTTGATAAGATCCAAAGAATTTGGCTAGTTTTTTGCACAATTTGATCTACTTATTAGCTCTGTTTAACTACATTGAGAACTCTTTTGTCTACACCCTTGGTTAAATTAATAGATATTTGCTCACCTGTATGTGTACATAATTGCTCATATATATGGTTGATTGTATCTCTTTATGTAGATCATTTCTACAACTATATGTTCCTATCTATCTATCTATCTATCTATCTATCTATCTATCTATCTATCTATCTATTTGGGTATTTGGACAGCAATCTCTTTTATACAAGTTTCATCAAAGACAACTATCAAGGTGTGATTAAGCTTTTTATTGTGTTCGTATAAGTGTTTTCTTTTCTAGATATAAATTGTGTAAAAAACTAGACAAATTTTTTATATAACTGATTGCTTATTTAATTAACCATTATTAAGGACGTTTTTTTATTTTATTTTTAACTAAATATGTAGATTTTTATATGTATAGCTATAGTGATATATAGACCATTTGGACAGTTTTATACATTTTATGTTCACTTATGTATTTTCATACACTCTATCCTTGGTATTGAGCACATTAACCAATAAATATATAGTATACCATAAAACTATATTTTTATAATATATATATATATATATATATATATTGGCCTGAAGATTGCGCCTAGCATGAAACAGCCTGTCACCTTTGAGCGCTGACTTCAATGTTCACTTTTATATTTATATTTACATATGCTCTATCTCTGATATTGAGCACTTTATCCCATAAATATAGCACACCTTAAAACTATATTTCTTCATATATATAAATATATATATAAATATATATATATGATATATATATATATATATATATATATATATATATATATAACCATATGAAATTTGAACAAATCGGATATAAATTCCAACATTCGTAACATTACATTAAAATCTATATAACCTCATAAATTGCACGTCTTGCCTTCTCTTAGGCTCATAAATCACCATATAGTGATCCTCTACCTTGAGCGGCTCTTGGGCCTTGTATCACGTGAAGATTAGTATAAAAAAAATTAGCCAAACATACTGTATAAACATGTTTTTGAATTATACAGTAAATCCCTGGATTACAACAGTCCCGACCTATGATGATTTTCAACTTATACTATCTGCCTCGTATATATGATGTAAACGGTGCATAGGAAGAATACTCGGTGCAGTGGAAAAATACGTTGTCATACAGTGGTAGAGATTTTCGTTGTACATCATATTAGATTGTTGGTGAATGAGTGTTTATCACAAAAAATTGCGGATATCTTTCAACTTATATGGAAAATCCCATTTCAGTGCATCATAGGAACAGAACTCTATTGTAAGTAGAGGAATTTTGCTAGGCACAATCACCAAATGCTTAAAGTTCTCTCAGTATACACATAGTTAGTGACTATGACCCCCCTTCTAAGAGGAACAGACTAAAGCAGCCACCACCCATGAAAACAAAAATTCATATGAATACTCATTGAATAAAATATTTAATTTCAACTCCTCCCATATAAATTTTATTTATTTTTATCATCAAAAGAGCTCAACAAAATTGTGTTCATATGTAGACACTCTAACAAGTTACAATCTTTTTATTCTTCTTGCTCAGGAAATGTTATGATTTCAAATTTTCCCTTCAAGAATAGATCACAAGATTTCTACATAATTTTGGGAGCATGTGCTGTTTCTATAATTTTCCATTCAGCCATAGGTGATTTGCCCATACATATTTAGACAGTATTTTTCTCATACTATGGTTGTAAAACCTTTCTTTCCATGGTTGTTCTGTGGCACCTTAATTTGAGTGATAAAAAGTTCCCAAAAGAGTACATACTGAATAATAGTCTGATAAATAAATTAAAGCAATTAAATTATTCTGAATTTTCTGCATGCTAACACGTTCCTTTTAAAAATGTGAAAAAAATCACAAGATCTTGGTAACACTATTAAAACCAGCCACCCATTTTGAAAAAATTGCTAAGCATGAAAAAGCAGTATAAATGGGTAAGATAAAAATGTTATTTTTTTTATGTTTATTAAAAGCTCTTTTAACAGAATTTAAAATAATACAATCTACAAATAATACTTATATATGGGAAAGTATTGGATACATAAAATGTTTAAAGAAATTTTAAGAAAAAAAATACTTTATAATGTGGCTGCAAGCCTAAAAATTGAATATCCGGTCTTATCTATATCTTTTGATCAGGTGTAGATGTTTATCCCTTGTTTTCTGTTTAGGATTGGGTTTTCAGTTCCTTCTAAAGTCTTTTCCTTTCTTCTCTTTTAACTTTAGTAGCCTCTTTCATCTAAATGGCATTACTTATTTGTATGGGGTGACTTAATTAAAAAATTCTTAGGCCATTATATATCTAATTTAGTCTTGGTTATGATGGTAAACTGCCTCTGGCAGCAAGGCCTCTGATTGAGAGAGTGTAGAACCACCTCTTAATTGGTGACCCTGACCTGGAGTGGTAGCACCTGTTAGGGCCCCAGCAATGAGCAAATAGTGAACCTTCAAACAAAAACAAATACTATAAAAGTGTAGGACCAGTAATGCTTGTTATTCATAGTTGAAGCCATAAAATTGCATACAAAATATTTAGGTTCCAGCATTAAATAACCCATAGAAGTATTGATATATCACTAAATAACATCAACTAAACAACCAACAGGAAAGAATTCTTCCATGATATTAATCCATATAATATCCTACATTCCAATATGTAACTTCGACAAAACTACAACATAAAACCCAGATATTGACGCCTTTAGTAATTATATCCACACAAACATGTATATGCACAAAAGCTGAGTATCATTTACCATGTATTCAATTGTGAAAGCAGAATAACATATATTTTTGTTACTTCAAAGCTCCCAAGAAAATTAAATTTCAGCATTAAGTGACCCATAAGGAGTTGATATGCCATTAAGCAAATAAAACAAAACAAAACAATATACCTAAGTAGAAAAAAATGAATTTTTTGTCTATTCACAAATTTATTCAGGAATTTAATAAAATGTTCAAAGGAAAAGTCCTGGATGTACATCAAAAAACTGCATCCACTATTTAATTCAGTAACTGCATACATTGAGTGGCTTATTGGTTTTGTATAGTCAAAAAAAAAAAAATGATGTCATAAACTATTGCTGATTTACTGATAAAGATATTACTGTTCTTCCACTATGTTGTTAGTTCAGCACTTTATAATTTCATACACTTATTGCTTAAAGAAGAACATTGACACCAGAAAGCATTCATCTGATGATTTTGTGGCCCAAACACCATTAACACTTTAGGGAAATAACCAGAATAAAAAGAACTAAGGGAGACAACTGACAGCTGATGAGAATTATCTTTATTTTTTTTTTTTAGTTTTTGTATTCTTTATGTCTAAGTCAGAAGAGCTTTAGAATTAATGAAATCCAAGAAACAATAAAGATATCATTCTGATAAGAAACTTTTATTCATTTTCTTCTCATTTAATCTTCAGTTATAGCAGTATTTTTGACATTGTGTGGTTTTTGGTTTTAAGCTTTTACTTCAGTTTATCAACTTGTAAGATTCTAAAAAACAACTCCATAATAGTATCTACAAGAGAAGATAAAAAAAAAAGATCTAAAAGAACAAGGACTTTGGATTACTTTGTTGGCTTTAAACATAAACACCCGTTAGTTACTTCCATCTTATCCATTATGATCTGGTTTGCTTTTAAAGAGGAATTCTGGGATATACAAAATTTCACTCCCTTTTATATTGTAAGTTATATATCCAAATCCTTCTTTGATGTTCCCTTTTTTTTATCCCACAACTTAATCTCTTCACTGTGATGAATCACCTTAAAATGAAACCCGAGGACTCTATTTTGAATGTTAGTCCCTCTCTTTCTCCTTCTTCATTTGTTTATTTTCCAACTCTTTGGATTTTGGCAGCCATCTTATATCAATAACTGCTTTACTACTCAATGTTGAGAAGTAAAGTTGATATATCCGATAAAAGGCTTTGCTACTAGTCAATATCAGGTATCAATATTACTCCAACAACTAAAAGTGAAATTTTTTTTTTTTAACTTTGCTAA